AAGAAAAAGAAAAAGAAGACCAAGGAACACCAAAGCAGCCACTAGCTTGGTAATTAGCCCACTGTCTATCCTGGGTAAGAATTACAGACCTCCTGTATACCTCACAAAATGCATGGATGCAGGCGGATGTCTATGTGTGTGATTACATGGCATCCGCCATCTTTTGAGCCCGTCATTATGTAAAAGTTTATTGTCACTTGGTTTTGATCACAAAGGGAGGCATCGCAGAGTTACATGAAGAGTATTAGACGGCAGACCTTGGCCCTGTATGGACCCACAGGTCAACATAAGACAGTTCTGATCTTGAACTGAACAGACATCACCTGTGGTTCTATTCTAGTGCCTTTATTTTTTTTTTCATTCAAAACATAAGAATAATTGATCCCGGTGCTATAATAAGAATGAGAATGTTATGGATCCTTTCTCCTTGATGAGCCCAAAGGTTTTTCGTTTCTTTTGATGTATTTTCTCTTTACTATTTTTGTGACTTTAAAGACCTAGACAGTAATACAGTGGGATAAGGAAGGGTATGGCTCTAAAGGAGTTACTGACCACAGAGAAGAGATCCTGACATTGACCCTGGGTCTCCAGTGGGAGGAGGTCCAGCCTGGCTTTAGGTGCTGTGTTGAGTCATGCTGCCCATGATGACCATGCAAACTATAGGGAGAAGGAGTCAAATACAGGGGCGCAGGGTGACCTCCTTTTCCCAGCTCCCTGCAACTTCAGTGGAAACAATGACACCAGCAAGGGGAGAGAAAGCAGTCCTAACGAGGAAGGCTGAAGAGACTTAGACAGGCTGATCATTTACAGCTTCCCTCTATCTGAAAAAAAAAAAAAATGTCATTCCAAATTATTCCTTGTTATTTGGGTTCTTCCTTTTCCTTAGGGAAAATTTAACTTTTCTCTTCAGGTGGCTGTTAACAAAACTTGTGGAAAAAAAAATACCTTTTCCAGTTCATTGCTCCCACTTCCCTTAAGCTGTTTCCTAGAATGAAATATGGGAGAAATGAGTGGATGGGGGGGGGGCAGGAGGAAGAACAAGGAAAGCAGAGGAGATAGACGAGGGAGGAGAATGAGGATAAAGAGCCACTCGGGAAAATGAGGCTGCTTTCAAGGGACAGAGGCAGAGGAAGAAGAAGATGAAGAAAGAAAGAATAAGAGGAGAAGGAGGAGGGCCAAGAGGAGAAGAAGGGTCCAGTACTGGAAGAGAAAGGAGAGGTGAAGGGGGAAGGAAGAGAAACTCAAGAAGAGTGGGGAAAGTGTAAGAGGGAGGACAGCCATGGCAAGCGAGGGAACTGAAGCAGAAGCGGACAAGATCTGTTGCCCACTCCTGACTCCAAGCCGTGTCTGACAAAGTTATTATGTGGCTCCCACTGCCTGGTTCCACTGAACAGAAATGTATTTCTGTGTTCTGCTCTAATCAGGTCAGGGCTGCTTGGCACCCTGGTTCCCTACATCTCCTCAGCCTGGGATCAGTCTGCTGTCAGGCATTATTTCCTCCTATGCTCAGGCTGAGCCTATGCTGTGGTCTCTAGATATGCTAGACACTGGACTGATAGCCTTAGTCCGCAGCTATCTTTAGAGATCCAGACTGCGGCCTAGGGTGGTACTCAGTGAGTTAGTCTCCTTCAGAATGCAAGCGGCTGTGGACCTCTGTTCTCTACCTAAAGCCCGAGGGTACTACAGGGGATAGGACATATTTTCCTCATATCTCCTAAGCATCCCTTATATTGAAGTCCCTGTCAGTGATATTTATAGGAAATGACCATTGCAGTTCACTTGGAAAAGGCCAAATAAAGAGAGAAAAATGGTTTGAATCTGGAAACAGACTAACTTGTTCCAGTCTGGAAGAAGTATAAGCTCAAATCTAATTCCAATCTACTGGCCAGGAAACTGACATTGAGTTAGTCCTGGCCCTTGGCCTTCGACAGTCCTATGAAAGCAGAGCAGAGCCAGTAATCCCCTGTCACATGTGTTCAGAGAGGTGTCCTAGCTGTTTTCCAGGCCCATGTGTCTGAACCCAACATTCACAAACAGCCTGTAATTTTAACTCAGGGCAGTATTCTACATAAAGGTGAATACAGGTACCAAGATACACTGGCAGGATTTAAAGAAGACAAAACCCATCTTGCAAACATAAACGCATGCTGTAATACCAGGAGGGTGAATGGGATGGCAAATAACCTTAAAGCATTCTTTTTTGGGTTTGTTTGTTTTTATTTTCTGAGACAAGGTCTCAGTACATAGCATGGGATGACCTAGAACTAGACATATGGCCTAGGATGATTTTAACGGCCAGCACTCTTCCTGCCTTTCCAGACTAAGTGCAAAGATTAAAGCCATGCAACGCTGTGACCGATGGTACTTTACTTCAGAAACATTACAAATAAATCAGAAAATAAAGAAAAATTAAAAGAGGAAAACCCCAGTATTTCCAGCGGTATGAAATTCCTGAGTTAAAAGGATTTAATTCTGGGGAGAAGGAAGCATTTTCACAAGTTACTGCTTTAGAAGTTAGTGCACGTGGAGCCTGAGCTCAGCTGATGAAAGCAGCAATGATTGGACAAGGAGGTCAACAGACATGCACCCACAGATCTCTGCCTCCTATGCCTCCTAAGGACACAGAGCAAACCTAGCCACTTCCCATATGAGTTTCACGCACATGAAGAAGCCGGATGTACCCATACCTAAATACATGGGGACTGGAGGGCCATCCCACTGCAGATGTAATGCAACTACCTATTCCTAAGTTACGAAAACGCCATCCCACACAAATGCCCTCTCATCCCCCAACCCGCTCTAGAAAAAGAACAAGCATTATTGCTTTTCAAGCATGTGGAAGAAGACATAAGTTTGCACTGAGCATCAGGTGGAGCTTGTTTTAAAAGCTTCAAAGCTCAGACAACAGAGGATCAGTTTCATTAAACTACCATAGAATCAGATATGAATATTTCCATAATATTTCACCACTGAAACAGAGAGAAATGAGGACATTGAAATAAACACAAATACTTTATGACTGTCCTTAAGGTAGCAAAATCGCTCTTTCTTATTAATAATGTGGAGACAAGTGTACTGTTTATAACAGCGTAAAAATTTGAAGGCCAGCATGCATAGCTTTTATGTCTTGTTATAAGCATATACCTATACAAAGCAAGCTTAAATAATCATTAACATATAGGGTGATAATGGTGTCTTACAATAATCCATTATCTTCCTAGAGATCAACAAATGGCTACTGCTTCTAAACATTGGAAGTCAAATATCCGCCCTTGTATGGAAAACATGTTACTGACCTTGTTCTAGCATTACCTTCTTCCAGAAGGCAAGAATACATATTTGAAATATTTCCATCACTATCGCTCTATTTTAGCTACATATAAATAATGTTATGATCAAATCTATCATATTAACTTCAAATCTTCTTGATTTACCTGCTTAATTTTACACAATTGGTTAAATTCCTTCTCAAACTTTTAGTAAACATAATTTGTCCCTCTGTTGCCGAAAGTCTTCTTAAAATGTTAACTTTTACATTTGACAATACTAACTTAAATCTAGAGTCTGTTTCATTCACTTTCAAAGTCGGTCTCATATTTTCGGTGGGAACTCGAATAAGTAACTGAACACTCAGCGTGGAAGAAAGCAAGAATCTTCCTACAAAACCCCACATGGCAGACACATTGATCTCCTACATACAGGACAAGTAAGAGCAGCCCAAGATTTCGTCACTGAAGAAAAAGGAAGAAGCTAGTAAGATCATCTATCTGCCACAAAGATACATTTCCTCATTGTGTATAAAGAAAAGACTTTTTTAAAAAATTTAAAGCGCACATCCTGCCCAGAAAGAAAAATGCTTTTGAAAGTCTATCAGAAACCAACCCAGACAAACCAAACACTGTGAGAAACGATGTTCTCCTCATTTGCATCAGCTGCTTTCATCATTTGTGCTGCAGATGATGCTGTGGAATGTGCATTTCTGGTCAAAGGGCTCATATGTCTATTTTATTTGTATAACCATTTGTGTTTATATAGAGAAGAAATCTGAAAATAAAAGAGTAACATGATAAACTCATATGATGGCATTTTTTTCTCTCTACCCCTCTCCATGTGGTCTATCAGAACAGAACCATGGATGTTATTTATGCTCCTGCAGCTAAAGACAGCTCCTTGTTTCCTGTCTCATTCACACTGCAATATAGAATTGAATACATGGCATGGAAATTGACTTTGATTCGCTTTCGAAGCTCTAGATAAAATTAGACAAACAGAATCATGTATGATAACCAAACACAAAAACTGGTGACAGAAACTAATTCAGATTTGGCTATATATGCAGGCACAATGAAAAACATGAATCCGTCTTCATTGTAATCAAACACTTTATAAACTCTGAGACATGACAATATCCCAGTTTTATAACCGGGAAGCGTGTATCAATCCTTAAAATCATGCCCATTAGAGAAGACCGCAAAGGACAGGGCAAAGGGCACGTTGTGGACACTGGGCTGGGCGTTACACAGTTCTCAAAATGGTTCCCTTCCCCTGTATCGACCCCCTCAGTTCTCTGGGCCATGCTGTCTTCTCTTTGCCTGAACTTCCACTGAACCAGGCCAGGAGTCACCTTTGCTACTTCTAATAAAAGCACCTTCTTGACCCAAGACAAAGCGCATGCCCAGGTCTACAGGACTCTGTGACTGCGGCTCTCAGTACTTCTTCCTGCACCTCCAAGCCACCACACCACGTGGTACAACAGGGAACTCAGAACGCTACCATCTGGTCCAGGTCTGTCCCTACAGACAACAATATCATTTTCTGACACCCCACAGGAGAAATGATTATATCTGCCTACATATAATGCTGGAAAGACTTTTCCTTTATCTGGTAGCCAGTTTGTTCTGTCTTACTAAAGCAATGAAGAAAACGATATTCAGTGGAATGTGAGAGCTACACCTTTCATGATCCAAGAAAAATGTGACCCAAGGCCGTGTTTTTCATACCTTTGCAGCCACCGATGAATTCGGTTTCTCCAGCAAGTCCCAAAGTTTCTTCCTTTTCTCGGGGCAGCAGGTGTTATCAAACTCCTCTCCCTCCCGCTCGCGCATGGTCTCTGCCTCCCGCCTCAGTTCTTCGTTCATCTGCTCTTTCTTCTGATGGTATCTGGCTTGGCAGCAGGATTCCAGGTAAATCTCATCGATGCCCCAGTAATCAAGCTCTTGGCCAAAAGAGAGCGCACACATTTCTTCCATCATGTGGAGCTTCCCTGTCCGGTAGAAGTTTAGAATTGATGTGAAAGCTCCCGGATGTCGGTCGAAGAAATACTCATTCTCGTTCAGATTGTAGTCATCGCAAACCTCCAGGAGGCTCTCGTGCGTGTTACAGTCCCGGAGCTTCCCCAAGCGCGTCCTGGGGAGCCTATCCAGAGTTCTCCACAGGACTTCGTGGTTAAGGCCCCCCACATTGATCTTCACTCTCCGAGAGCATGTTTTGCTTCGGATAATGTCTACAGGTTCTGGAGGAAGAGAAAGTGTCGACCTGGATGTCTTCCTGTTCAAGCCAGGTGGAGCCTTTTCTGCCATTTTGAACTGGACAGAACCACAGATCCAGGGTCCTTAGAGAGGAGGTCAGCTGAGGCAGGATTCCTCTGGAGCAGGCATGTCCATGACAGCTGGGGGGGAAAAAGAGCATTTAGTCATGCACAGTTCCCCCACAGTGCTGCCTGTCCTGCTGGGGTCACTCAGCTGTTACAGTCACGGATACCATTAATGGTCACTGTTTTTCTCCTGCAGGTATAAACCTGGGTTGTAGGAAATAAGAGGGGAAACCACATAATGAGGTTCCCAGAGGAAGCTGTGTGCTCACTTGTGCACATCTGTAGCTTGACAAGACCCAAATGCATCACCGGTGTTGCGGAGCAGTGTAGGTGCTGATGAAGGCCCCAAAGATAAAGTCCTGGCACAGTGACACCAGCTATGCCGCTAACCTACCCTGCCAGGTCCTGTTCACAACATCCGTTTCAGGTTGATGACCTTCCTCATGCCCGCACCTACTCCAGTCACTGAAACCAAGTCTGCGAGCACCTGGTCCTCTCATCTTCATGCAACTGCAGACCTCTGGACATTATAGCTCCTAGAAACTGCTTACACTCTCTGCTGTTACCCAGTCCCCAGCACCCAGGGCCCGAGCTAAACTCCTTGCCATCCTTGGATGTGGCACTCCAAGAGTCATTAAACTGGCCCAGCCTCTGGTGTTGGTCATCAGAGCCACTCTCACCACACAGCAACAAACACCATCTACTAAGACACAGACTTGTCCTTATCACCCTGTCTTAAACCTTCAAAGGCTCTTTGTTATTGGAAGTAAAACCAAGTCAGCCATGCAAGATCCTCTCCACATTCCCCACTAGTCCAAATCACTGTCTGGAAACCGTCTTCTATCTATAGGGAATATAACACAAAATACTTAGGGATTTTAGGAACCTTGAAATGTGTGTAGATAGGTTGATAGCTGGATGTTAGATAGATAATACAGACAACTAGATATAGAAAGCTATATCATGAAATAATTTTCACATATATATGCATACCATTTTCTGTTTTAATTTTAATACACTAATAGAGAAACAATAATAGCTAATAGTAAAATAGAAGAAATATAATAATATAGTATATTAAACATTATCTAAAACTAAGGAGTTATTAATTTCTATAAATTTCCATGTAATATTTTAGGGCCTTGTTTGACCATGGTTAACTAAAAACACAGAAAGTGAGTGGATAAAGGGAACTTTTCTTTTGTGTTGCACCAACCCTGTCATGCACACAGCACTGATTTTAGGACTTGGCTCATATATAGCAAATCCTGGTGGGATCTCCAACTTTTGTATTTGCTTTTGATCAATAACTGCTTGCTTTTCAAGACTTGGGCCAGATGTTACCTCCTCCAGAGTATCTTCCATGACACACTTCCTCTGGGACCAAGAAACTGTGTCTCTTGTCTTCCACCATGTTACTGAAACAGTATCTTTCCGTAATGTACAGCAAGCTCCAAAGAACAAGCCCACCCTTCTTTATTTTTATGCCCTTGTCATTGAGTACTGTTCTTAAACATTGGAGCGGTTTGCTTTATTAAAATAATGAGTCAATTCTTTGTTTTCCATAAGCAGCTAACGGTCAGGAAATGTGTAAATGAAGTTATTGGGATTGCGTGCCTGAGATGCACCTATGCGTACAAGCTGTGCATGGTCAGAATCTGTTATTGCATGCCGAATTTGTGTCCTTTCGTTTCTCATCTCTTTCCACTGGGCACTAATGTTTAGAACACGATATCTATAGTTTTTCCCCTTGATAGTCTTGTTGTATTATCATCTGAAGCAAGAAGAATCCTCATGGCTATTATCTTCTGAGTGATTTGGTAGAAAATCGCAGAGCTTTGAGAAACTGGCCCACAGAGCCCTCTTTGAGGTAAAGCGCCATCTTTCACAAGTCAGTGGCTGAGACTAAAGTGAAGTGATGAACTTTGAGATCCGAGAGGTTCTTAGGGCTAAGACTTTATTGTAAGATGCACAGCAGTTTCTGCAAGGCCCAGGATTCTCCATCTGCATGTTAAGTTTATTTCTCCATCTGGAGGCCAAGTATCCTCTAAAATGAATATGTGTGCCTTCTGAAGAAAAAGTAGATGGGCCATATGAGAAGGGTTTTAGACGTGGGCAACAAAAAAATTGGGAGTTTTTTCAGACATACAGGAGTATTTTAAAGATACACGCACACATACACTTCCCTCATGTCTGGCCAAAAATAATGTCCATTTTACAAAAATAAAAAGGGACGATAATGATTGCTAAAGTTGTTTGAGCTTGAATCCTTCCTTTAGGAAGACAAGAATAATATGTCATCCATAAGGCATGGTATCATGATGAGTAAATGAGACCGTTTGTATAAAGGCTTCACTCTAAGAAAACACATCTAAATAAAATAAGGATATTCACAGATCTTCCTCGGGTTTGGTTTTTCAACTGCTGAAAGAAAATGAATAAGAAAAAACACATTCACGTTTATTAAATGAATGCTAATCCAGCTTTTACCTTTTAAGGCCTGGACTTGTGGGTCTCATCCTTTCTTTCTGTTGAAAATTAGACCTACAAATAAGAGACACTCTGTAATATGCACTGTGTTGGTATTGATGCTCACGTCCACATTTTGTATCTTACTGACATTGAACTATAAATATTTTTAAAGGAGCAGTAGCATCAATGTCAGACAAAATTAAATGAAAATATTAGGAAAAGGGCAGTTGCAGTGGTGAGCACAGATGTCTTTTCCACTGAATGACGTCACCCTGCTACTACCGTAATGACTCAAAGTCTGTTACTAGTTCACGTGAACAATCAGCACTAAGGCCAGACTGCTTTGAACTTGGAGACTGTTCTATTTGCTTTTCCTTCACTGTGATAACGCACTCACCCGTAGCAACCTGGAGAAGGAAGGGTTTACTTGGCTTGTACCTCCACATCACACTGTGTCACTGAAGAAAACCATGGAAGAACTTGAACAGAAAGCAGGAGGTAGGAGCTGAAGCAAAGACCACGGAAGAATTCTGCTTCCTGACTCACTGACTGCTTCTGCTTAGCTAGCTTCCTTCTACAACCCAGTACCACATGCCCAGTGTGGCATGACCCACTGTGAGGTTGACCCTTCTCCATCAATCAGCAGTAAAGAGAACCTTGCAGGCATAGCCATAGGCCAAGTTGATGGAGACATACTGTTCAGCTGAGATTCTTTTTCTTCCTGGGTATGTCAAGTTCACAACCATGAACAGCCATCACAAGGACAAATGAACAGAAAATGCACCTCCTCTTTTTGGAATGCCATGCCTCCTGATTAAAATAGTGTTTTAATTAATCACCTCACATATGAGGTTTATGACAAAGACAGAAAACATTAGCATGACTCTGGTAGAAACATTTCCTATCTATGGTCAAAGGTCTATGTCCAAAGACCTGCCATCCTGTGATGGTATTTATAAGAGTAAATGCTGTGTCCAAGTCACCAGCATGACACCATTTACTTGAAGCTTTTGCATGCCCATGACCTACACTGAATTTTCTTTCAAAGGGTGTCTAAGTGAAAAGTGGAGAGAGGTCAGAAGACTTAGATTTCAAAATATCTTCTTCACTGATCAAGAACTTTCTATTATAAGAAATCCCATGTTGATTACAGATCCCATAATAAAAATCAGGCTGAAACCCAATCCTCTCTTTTCAAAGAGAAGAGGGCAACCAGAACAGAAGACGCCCTGTTGATTCGACTTCCATCCAACTTAACATTGTCCACTGCGGCTCTTGTGGCTGTGATAAATGTCATCATTCACCCTTGGCAGAATGTTCTGTGTGTTTCCTGATTAAAGACGTTAGCTCTTGAGTAACTAGGGAATGAGAATAGTGTTCAGAGAGTCAAAAAAGTTTTCAGAATAAGCCAATAATTCAGGTACACTTCACCGCACCAGCCCTGACAACAGAACGTTGGAGAATTCACCAGCCCATTTGGTCTACCAGCTGGTGCCTCTCCCTACTTGCCTGTCTCCACTGCCTTACAAATTATATGCCTTGCTTCTATTCTACCCCCTGTCTTCCTAACATGCATGTTCACTATGCCATTCAATTCAATTGGGAAACAATCACAAACACATACAAAAATCCCAGAGAAAATTATTTTTAGATTTACACTGCTTCCCCCTATTTTTTTTTTTTTTGTATCTCTTTTAATATAAAGACCTCCCGAGATGAAGCTATCAGATCTTATTTTGGAAGAAAACAAAATTATGTAAACCAAGCTGTTGCTATTTTTCAGGTGCTGGAAGCAGAACCCAGTGTTTGGGAGTTGGACTCACTAAGGTACACACCTTATTGTTGAGGTACCACAGCCCTAGCAGTACTCTATATCCTTTCTCACTGCCTCTGATGAGATGTCACTATGTTTCCCAGTCATTGCTCAGATTCCTTAAGTTAATGTGGAGCAGCCTTCCTCCATCAGCTGCCCAAGCAGCTGGGCCCACAGGCATCTGCTGCGGTGCCTGCCCCAAGGTGCTCTCCAAGGTAAGGTGTATAGAGCCACAGCATCTCTTTCCATTCAGGCTGACCTTTCACATGATGTGGGAGTCTTCTGTTTTGTGTTGATTTCATTGGTTAAATAAAGAAACTGCCTTGGCCCTTTGGTAGGACAGAAAATTAGGTAGGCAGAGAAAACAGAACAGAATGGTGGGAGAAAGAAGCCGAGTCAGGCAGTCGCCATGATTCTCCCACTTCAGACAGAACGCAGGTTAAGATCTTTCCTGGTAAACCGGCTCGTGGTGCTACACAGATTATTAGAAATGGGTTGGATCAATATGTAAGAGCTAGCCAATAAGAGGTTAAAACTAATGGGCCAAGCAGTGTTTAAAAGAATACAGTTTCCATGTAATATTTCGGGTAAAGCTAGCCAGGTGGCGAAAAGCAGCCCCGCCGCTTCCACTACTGCATTCACATTTGACCTTTCTGAGTGGGCTTTGGTTTTGTCGTCCACGAGTCTATGATTCTTTGACTTCTCATGACACAGCCGGTGCTATTTCCCTGTCACTGTCATTTGGTGGCCTTTCCCATCTTCCCCCCAGTTCCCGTGTTTACCTTAAACA